CCACCCCTGCCTTCCCACTGAGATCCATCAGTATGTTCCATGCTTCTCTGTCTCTGGATCGATTTTGTTCCTCAGTCTATTTTGTTTATTAGATTCCACATGTGAGTGAGACCATGTAAAACTGAATCAGGAAAAATCAGGAAACCTGAATAGGGCAATAACAACTGATGAAATCGAAGCAGCTATAAAAAAACTCCCAGCAGCCCGGCCGGGTGTGGCTCAGCGGTTGAGTCTCGACCTGGGATCCAGGCGATCGAGGTTTGATTCCCAGTAAGGGCACATGCCCAGGAATTGCAGGCTCGATCAATGACTCTCTCATCATTGATGTTTCTATCTCTCTCTCTCCCTCTCCTTTCCTCTCTCTGAAATCAATAAAGATATATTTTTAAAAAACCACAAAAAAACCCCCCAAAAAACCTCCCAGCAAACAAAGGCCCTGGTCTGGACGGCCTCACAGGGGAGCTTTCTAATTCTGTAGGCTGTAGGTTTCGATAGTTTACTAAAAATTTTTCTTGCTTTTTGAGGTAGGCCTGCAGTGCTATGAACTTCCCTCTCCAGACTGCTTTCCTGTGTCCCATAGATTTTGGGTTGTTGTGTGTCATTTTCATTTGTTTCCAGGAAGTTTTTGATTTCTTTCTTGATCTTATTGGTAACCCATTCATTGTTTAATAACATGCTATTTAGTCTCCCTGTGTCTGAATGTTTTTAGTGTCTTTACTGTAGTTAATTTCTAATTTCATGCCCTTGTGATCTGAGATACTTGATATGATTTCAATCTTCTTGAACTTATAGAGACTTGTTTTCTGTCCTAACATGTGGTCTATCTTTGAGCATGGCCCATGTGCACTTGAGAGGAATTTATATTCTGCAGCTTTGGGGTGAAATGTTCTGTAAATATCAATTAAATCCATCTGATCTAGTGTGTCACTGTTTCTGTGTTGACTTTTTGTCTGGAAGATCTCCCTAGTGAAGTGAGTGGGGTGTTAAATCCCCAACTATGACTGTATTGCTGCCAATCTCTCCCTTAAAGTCCTTAAGGTTTTTATTGATAGGTTCTTATTTATTGCCATTTTAATTCTCAGGTTTCTTTTTTAAAAATATTTTTTCTGAATTTACTTAAGCCAAACTGCTGACATGCTAGAGAGCAAGATCTCCGACGTTCCCAGGTTCCTGTGTGGACACCAGCCTACAGCTCCTTGGGGTAAACACCAGGGAGCGTGACAGCTGGATCCTACGAGTATTTACTTTTGTGAGAAACCACCAAGCTGTCTTCCAAAGTGGCCGCACCGTCTGCGTTCCCACCAGCAGTGACCGAGCCTTCCCGCTGCTCCGCGGCCTCGCCAGCACTTGGTGTTGTCAGCGCTCTGGATTGTGGCCGTTCTGATAGGTGCGCAGGGGAGTCTCATTGTCGTTTAATTTGCATTTGCCTGATGACATGGGATGTGGAGCGTCTTTGCATTTGCTGATTTGCCACCTGTGCATCTTTGGTGAGGGGTCTGCGAGGGCCTTGGCCCGCTTTTAATCGGGTTGTTTGTTTTCTTACCAGTTTTGAGAATTCTTTATATATTTTGGAAAACAGTGCTGTGTCAGATATGTCTTTTGCAAATATCTCTAC